AAAGAACATAATAGTTATACAATATTCAAAATAGAAAAGAAAATATGGTTTGCATTTGACTTCTCATTTGTGTTTGTTTTATTATCAAACCATAGAAACCATCAGACTACATAGAGAAAATAAAATTAAAGATACATTAACTAGATTTATCACACATAAATAAATATCAATCTAGTTAAGTTGATTAAAATAACACAACTCACCTTTGCAAACTTTATTATTGGTTTGGCCTTAAAACAATCCACCAAATACTCCGAGTTTCTTGCCTCCAAATTTCTTCTTGTGCTCATCACTTTGGCCTCTCTGATACTTGTTCCTCTTCTCCAAACTCTGAACCAAGTCTTTAAGGGATCCATCAACATCTATTTTATGATTCTTCGCCATCAATTTCTCCGCTACATCAGCTGGAGCAATCTTTGCTTCCTTCAACAAAGACTCGATTTCACCGAACAGAGGATGAGAATCAAGATCCAAGTAGTTCTTGGCAAGAATCTTGAACGCCTCGAAACCACAATAAGACAACTCAATATGCATATCCATTCTCCCTCTCCTGATCAAAGCCGGGTCTAATTTCTCCATATGATTTGTGGTGAAGATGATGATCCTTTCTTGTCCACAAGCCGACCATATCCCATCTATGAAATTTAAAAGCCCTGAGAGTGTGACTTTACTCTGGTTTTGATCTTGTTTGCCTTCTTCTCCATCTTCCTTGCTGCTCAAGTCACTGTCTCTCTTCCTTCTCTTACTTGTTAGGTCTACAGAACAATCGATGTCTTCAATCACAATAATGGAATTGCTCGATGTAGCGGTGAGAAGTTTCCTCAACTCCGAGTTGTTCTGTATAGCCGTGAGTTCGAGATCATAGATACTATAGTTCAAATGATTCGCCATAGCCGCAATCATCGTGGACTTACCAGTCCCTGGTGGTCCATACAATAAGTAACCCCTTTTCCAAGCTTTCCCAATCTTCTTGTAATACTCTTTCCCATTTCTAAACGCCTCGAGATCATTCAAAACCTCTTCTTTCTTCTTCGGGTCCATCGCTAGTGTCTGAAAACTCGAGGGATGCTCGAAATCAATGTGTCTCCACAAGCTCTTTTTGCTAGTATCCCAATTCATACTAGGGTTATTAGTGAACAGCTTCATCTTCTTGTTCTTCGCCTCGATCGATTTCCCTTCTTCCATTATATACTTAATGTAAGATCCAGTTACAATTTCCAATCCACTTCTATGGAAAGTGAGCTTGTGAGTTCTGTCTCCATCAGTACTAGTCACAATCTCCCACCAGACATTGACTCCTTCGTATATGTCTCTGACTTTAGCCTCGTCACGTTTCAAGATTAGACCTTTACTCTCTTTAACCTGACTTGCCTTAAGCTTCTGCGCTTTATCGGTTGCTTTTGCCCCAAGGTAAGTGTCGATGGCTGCGAAAGCGTGATTGAAACGGTAGTCTTCGTACTCAGGGAAACTGATGACAATATAAGGAGAAAAGAAGTTGATGATCTGGTCGGAGAATCTTTGGACAAAGGAGAGTTGTTGGATTGCGGACAAGAGAAACTCTTTGATTGCGATCTTGAGGTGATCAGGGAAGATCTGTTGAAAAGTTGCCCAGAAGAAGAACAAACTTGCCATGCTTGAACCAAATGTTCCCATTGTATCTCCCATCATCTTCAAGAACAATTAACCTTTTTGTTTTGTGTTTTTTTCCTTGAGTTTTTGGACTTGTTTGCGGATTAGTTTGGATTACCGTGTAAAAGGGTCTTATTTATAGACATATTCAAAAAAGCAATGCATAGTGATTAGTAAGATATGCCATGAGTCAACTTGGTCGATTTTATTAAATATCAAGAAAATTAATTGAAGGCATGATTTCTTGGTTTAAAAAAGGTTTTATCATATTTCATTACTACATGCTATCTTTAACGAAAGCTAAACCCAAAATATTGATTTTGGATTTATTTTATTACAAAAAAAGGTTTTCAAATTACCTTTTTTTTTAATAGAAAATCAGTTTAGCTTTGGTATGCATTTTTTTGAGAAAAGCATGCTCCAAAACATAAGCAACAAGACATACACAGCCTTCTAGAGTTTGAATATCAAAATTATAGTAGTCAGCTTAAAAATAAACTTTCTATATACTGTATTTGGTTTTATTTTCTAGAATTGTCTAAATCCGACATAATCTGTCTGGTCGAGCCATGAATTTTATTTTTGCTTCAGGTTGGTTTAGCATTTCTTATATGTTCTTACGATTTAATTGATATTTCTTTTACTAAATATATTAATTGAGAAAGAAAAAAATATTTAGATCAGCTTGAATTGCAAAGAATACATAGTTTGAGAACTGGGGTAGATGTGATCCATGCTTAATATGATATTTTATTGAGCTAAAAACTATTCGGAATCACTTTTAATTCTAATTTTAAAATCAGTAGTACCACGAGGTTATTAAATAGACTATGATAACATACCAACGCGGATAGGTAGCAAAAGTTTTAAAGGTACCAGATGCACTATGGAAAATTCTGAGCTTCTTCTGCTCCTTTAAAGTTAAAAAAGATGCCAATTTTTTTTTTTAATTCCAAATCCAGAGTCTCCAATTCTTTATTATACAATTTAACACATGTGAACATATAAAGTAAATTTCGGACGTATGAAGAAATGACTATGAATCTTTATGTGATATTCAGATATGTTTTATCGATATAACGTGTGCACTTTGTATGGTAAAGACGAAGAAGCAACCGCTACGTATAAAAACAAAAACAAAAAATCTATCGATGTTTTCAATAAAATATTCTCTTAATCTCTTCTATATATTATTGTATCTGTAATATAATGGTTTAGTAGCCCGAAAGTCTTTAAAGAGAAAAGCAAATGAATAAAATTGTGTCAAATTTGCGTGGCCTCCAAAATCTTGCTCATAGAGAGGAAAGCTTATTTCGTGGGGATTAAGGCATCATCTACCCCAGTTCTCAATATAATATAAACTGTACAACAGTGTTAAATATATAACAACATGATTAATATAGTGGGTAAATAACAATTCAATCAAAATTCATATTTATTATTTACTAAAATTCTAAATATAGGATCTATATTTACAGTAAATATACA